ACAAACCTAAAACCCACTTGGGACTGGGTGGAGGGGGACCCTTATGGATTCTGTTTCCTGCCAGGAGTTTCCAAGGAAAGACAGGAATGGGCAAACTTTCTAAAGTAATTTCCCCATGACTGCCCAGCCAGACTGTGTTAAGTGTTTGGAGGCTAGAGAGGAGCCTCCTGGAGGGAAGTCACTTTTCCTGTGGCCTCAGAAATTAGTGTTTGGGCAGAAAGATGAAACACTGACCTCATCAGTGATTTGAAGTCCACACTACCAATCATCCAGAAGGAACCACAGCCTCTCTTAGGGCCATTTACTTCATCCAGTCAGGTTCAGGAGACTATACCTGGATAAGAACTGCCCTGAATCCATAGCCTTGGGTCCTCACTGCAGGAGAGCAAAGGGACATCTCATATCTACGTCTATCACTGCAGGAGAGCAAGGGGACATCTCATAACTTCTTCTATCACTCTCGCCTGAGTTTTGGACACAGAGTCTCACTTGGTTGACTGCACTCTCCAACTGGTTAGATTGGATAGAGGTATCTAGATGAGCTCCAGGGATTTGCCTGCCTCTCTGCCACTTCATCCCTCCAGTGCCAGGGTTATAGATGAACCCATTCATACTAATTTCTTACGTGGGTTCTGAGACTACAAACTCAACTCCTCAGGTGTGACTGTGAGACATCTCCCTAGTGTCTTTATAGTATCTATTGAAACAAAGTCTCACTGAACCTGGTGTTCACCAATTGGCTGGACAGGCTGTCCCATCCCCCATCCCCTAGAGTGTTAATCTTACTTCTTTCCCTTTACTTTCCTTTTTCTATTCACAGTGCTGTACAGGAGGGAAATGGCTTTCATTTTAAAGATGGACATGGATGTCAGGGTACTACTCAGATTGATCTGATCACATAAAGCATTTGCTTTTTGTATTTTAGATAAAGTAATACATGAAAAAATCAGCCAAAGCAACCAAAAGTTATAAGCAGTAAAGACTTTTCATGGACATGACCCCCATGACACTTGCACAGTGGTTTATCCTCATAGCAGAATTTCACGTTTTTCTGACCATGTTTTTAAGATACTGTGGTAAAGGATATGGGACATAATGGTATAATTAATTTTGTCAGATGAGACTAAGATAATCTACTCAAGGCCAACATATATGATCTTTTCACATTTTTTTAGTGTGACCTGCACCTGCTCTTTCCTCCAGTCTCTTCTAGTCCTGAACAATGCCAGGGAGTGCATCTTAGGAGGGGCATGGGGAATCTATCCCAGTTTTCTAGCTCTGAGGTCCAACCAGGGGCAGGAAATACCTGTTGCATACCCACTGATCTTTCCACTAACTACTTAAAAATGAATGGAAGAGCTGATGTCTGTGAGGTGGGTGGGGTAGGTTGATGACTGGCTACCAGGGGGCAGGGAGAGAGCACAGTGCTGTCACAAGAGGGTGGTGACTTAAAATAAGATACCCCAAATGGGACATAATGCAAGAGGTGTGAACCTGGAAACAGAAAACATGGCAGTCGTTTTACTGGAGGTGAATGGGTTCCCACTAGAAGAAGCAAAGGAGAGGGAAATGTCTAAGCATTTGAGACATTCTCTAACCTAAAGAAGGCTTGAGAAATGAGAAAACCCCTGATGCTCCAACCCTTGCTTTCTCTACTCTTTCTGATCAGGCTGGATTGTTGAGATAGCATCGGTTTAAGGCACTCACCTAGGGGAAATGACCTGTCACCTGTTGCTTGGTCAAAGTCATCCTATGAGTAGTCCTGCAGTGGAAACCATTGGTCAGCACCAAGGGGCAAAAGACAGTATGCAGGGAGACCCAATCCTATCAGCCTAAGTTGGGGGCACACTGCAGGGGAAGCTGTCGCTGTGCTAGCATTGCTCTTCCATGCAGTGGTGTACCGCCTGGTTTTGCCCATCCTCCAGAGTCTTGGTCCCCTCACAGATGTGTAAAGCAGCATAGGGCTTCCAGGGTACCCAGTTCTTAGCTTAGAAACATCAACACTGTCTCCCTCCACTCCTTTCTGTAGCTGGCCCTAATGCTCCCCTCTACTCTTTAAGACATTCCCCTCGCACTACTCAGTATTGCTATAATGGATCTGCATCCATTTATCAAACAGCACCTGTATTTCTGTGTGATCAAATCACTGGCCCAGTGGTCCAATCAAGTGGATACAGACTAGCCATCTCTGAAAACCTCTCAGAGGGCAGAAGGACAGATGGTCTTCAAGAACAGGTCTTTGTGTGAAAGTCCAAGCCTAAGATAGAAAATCAGCAATTTTTTTGAGAACTCTGAGTAGTCTGGGTATCTGTGTGAACCAGATTAGATTTGTTTCTGTGGGACTGGTTACAGAGCAGAGTTCAAGAGACAGGGAGTTGTTGGCCCAAAGGAAACAGCTCCAAGAAATGGGTACATGTGATATAATCATAAGGACAGTCACAAAGTTACCACAGCTTGTTTCCTGGAGATAAAAGCATCTTCAGTGTGAAAAGACAACGAAGTTACTGGGGGTAAATGCTAGGTTGTGACATTTGATATCAAAACTTAAAGGACCCAAAATTTATTTATCTGTGTTTCTTGCTAAGTTGGTCTCTAGCCAGTTTCATATGTACAGGGGTATCTAGGAAATCCATTTGGTCCCAAATAGGGTTTTGTTCCAAAAAGTGTTTTGACCCACCAAAGACCCTAAAATTCTGTAATTAGGCATTCCTTTTGAAGCACATGTTGACTATTCTTGGTTGTCAACTTGGCTACATGTAGAATTAGATAAAACCCAGATTGCTGGGCACACCCGTGAGGGATTTTTATTTCTTAATTAAATACTTTAATTTAGATCTAATCTGGATCTTTGAGGTGGGAAGACCTCCATTAATCTTGACCACACATTCTGCTGGCATCCTATATAAAGGACATGGAAAAAGGAGGCACTCTCTATGTCTGCTAAACCTGTTGCTCACCTAGCAAGTCCATTCTTTTACTGGTATTATAGCCTGCTTCTTTGGGATCGCAGTATATATGGAAAACCAGCTGAGACATCCAGCCTTATGTACTGAAGAACTATAGGAATCTTGGACTTTCCATTGAAAGACAGTTATTGTTGTTCTAGCTGGATTACAGCCTGTAAGTCATTCTAATAAATTCCCTTTTTATCATACACACACACACACACACACACACACACGTGTTGTGTGCAGGTCTTGTTTAGGCACCCATATTGTACTAAGAGAGAGAGATTCAGTGTCCTACAAGGATGAACTTCTCAATAGATTGTGCAAACCCATGTGGTCATCCCTAAACACATGTACATACAGGCCTTACTCGATGGACTCAGCAGGTAGTATTTATGTGTACACGTGGGCACATATGTATAATAATTGAAGGATAAGAGGTCTTGAGACTGAGAGGGAATAAGGAAGACAAGGGAGGCAGTTGAGGTTGTAGAAATGATGGAACTATAGTTGTCATGCTTGAAATTAAAAAAATAAACACAAAAGGTTCCATTGTGCATATATAATCACACTTTTTTCATTTTCCCATTTTATACCACTTAGGTTGTTCCACAATTGAGCTGTCTTTAACAGTACTCAGTGCTGCCATAGATACTGATGTGTGGTTATCTCTGTGGTGTGTTGACCTGGAGTTTTGGATGAATATGCATGTACATAGCAAGTTGTGTACTTCCACCATACTGTGACATAGTAAACGTTTCCATTCCCAAAGGAAGAACAAGAGGACAGTATGGAAACACTGAACCAAAACTGGGAAAGCATTTATCTCACTTACCCTGTAGCTGCCTTTCCCACTAGATTGACTGGCCAGAGAGGCCCTGGTGTCCACCTGTCTCCCTTTCCCTCCAGTTCTGTAATTACAGATGTGCACCACTGAACTTGGGTTTGATATGGACACGTGATTGACAGGCACTTTATCCACCACCCCAAATCCATCTTCCCAACCTGATATTCACATTTTTAGAAAAGATTAATTTTATTTTTATTTGTGTGTGTAGATGTGTATTTGTATGGAACTGTGCACATGTGAGTGCAGTACCTGAGGAGGCCAGAAGAGGGCCTTGGATCACCCAGAGTTAGAATCACAGGCTGTTGTGAATGGCCTGGAATGGATGCTGGGATTCAAACTCTGGTTGTCTAGAACAGCACTGTGTGAACTTAGCCCCTGAGCCTATTTTTCAACTCATTTTCACCATTTTTGTTGTTGGTGTTTGTTTGTTTTTGTTTTTCAAGACAGGGTTTCTCTGTGTAGCTTTGTAAACCAGGCTGGCCTTAAACTCACAGAGATTGGCCTGCCTCTACCTCCCGAGTGTTGGGATTAAAGTCATGTGCCACCACTGCCTGGCCCTCCTTTTATAATTTTTTTTTTTGGTTTTTATGAGACAGGGTTTCTCTGTATTGTTTTCGAGGCTGTCGGTCCAGCCCAGCCTCGAACTCACAGAGATCCGCCTGCCTCTGCCTCCCGAGTGCTGGGATGAAAGGCGTGTGCCACCACTGCCCGGCTGCCTTTTAATTTTTTCGTTCATGCTTTTCTTCATTTTCTAGACATGTCTGAGAAACACGTTATTGTTAATGAATGAGAATTCCTCTAAGGAGACAAGCCATTGTGGAATTACATGAAGCAAGCACACGCTTAGCAATGACCACTTCTGATATGAGCTCACGGGGATTTCGTTTTCCTCTTTACCATTTTCAGAGCATACCGGTTCCTTAGAATAAACATCAGACTTTATTATCAGGACCGCATAAGCTGGAGATGAGGTTTGTGGAGTGCATGCCTAGAAAGCATGAAGCCCTTGGTCCAATCCCTATTGTAGGCTAGGTTAGCTGGCGAATGATTGCAAGCATGTCCTCACATTGAGCTCAGAGACTTCACGCTGGTGAAGGAACACTGTATAGCAGAGTTGCTTCCCAGCCCAGTAGTTTAAATTCTTGGGGGACAGGGAGGACAGCTTTCCTGCTGTCTTCTCTCCACTTGTGGGTAGAGCACTGATGTATTATTGCTCTTGTCTCAACAGCATAAGCCAGGACCAGAAGGACACTTTCAAACAGAGCCAGGAAACATCCACACTGTGGCTCCTCCTATTAGGGAAACTCGGTGCAGGCAAAAGTGCCACAGGAAACACCATTCTGGGTAAAGCCATGTTCGATTCCAAGTTCAGTGACCATACGGTAACCAAACAGTGTCAGAGCAAAACTGTGTTCCTGAGAGAGAAGCAGGTCATTGTCATTGACACCCCAGATCTATTCTCCTCACAGTCCTGTGCAGAGGCCAGGCTGCTGAACCTGCAGCAGTGTTTGAAGCTCTCGGCTGATGGTCTCCATGTGCTGCTGCTGGTCACACCCATTGGCCACTATACAGAGGAGGACAGGGAGACCATTGAGGGCATCCAGGGTGAGTTTGGCACTAAAGCCTACAGTCACATGATTGTGGTCTTCACTCGGGAAGATGAACTGGGTGAAGACTCGCTGAAGGACTACATTGACAGCAAGAGCTCTCTCAAGGCATTGCTTGAAAACATTGGAGATTGGTACTGTACTTTCAACAACAAGGCAGACAAGGAGCAGCGGGAACAGCAGGTGGCCCAGCTCCTTGATGTGATTGAGCAGTTGATGGTCGGAAGCCCAGAACCATATTTTGTGCCCTTGAAAATGGAAGGCAGTGGAGTCCAGGTAGGACTGATAGGAGGAAGATACCCCCAAATCAATGGACCATCTTGTGTGTTACAGCCATGTTTTGTTTAGGAAGGTGTGTTTTTATGCTCTAGATAGCGTTTTTCAACCTATGGGTCACATTTGTGGATTGAATGACTCTTTAACAGGGTTTGCATATTGAGATTTACAATACAATTCATAACAGCAGCAAAATTACAGCAGTGAAGCAGCAATGAAAATAATGTTATGGTTGGGGGTCACCACAACATGAGGAACTGTATTAAAGGGTCTCCACTTTAGGAAGGTTGAGAACACTGCTCTAGAGTAATAGTAGGCATCAAACTTCTTGACTGTCAGCCTGGGGACTTTGGACTTAACTGGAAAGCTAATGGGAAACAAAACTCTGTCTCACACGGCCCCTCATGTTATTGACCATACTGGACTCCGCATAGTCTTTCTACTGACTTCCCAGAAAACAATAAAACAACTTCTCTTTCTGGCTGTTCCAAAAACTTCTGAATCTTCTTCCAGTCTCTGGCCTCTAAAGTCACTTCTCTGCCCTCAGAATACCCCTTATACTATTCACTACCAGCTCAAGGGGTGCCTGTAGACATATTTACAATAGCTACCTCCCTACAAAGCCCACGAGGATAGAAAACACATTCTGTTAACCACACTGTAACACAAATGCCATAAGATGTACCTGGAATTTTCTGTGAAGATTAAATGAGATGATTAAAAGTTGTAAATAAATAAATGCTTAGTATTTATTAGCTACTGTTATTGAGATATATGGGGGTTAGAGGAATTATGCATATTAAGGATTTCAGGGGACTGGAGAGACGGCTCAGTGGTTAAGAGCATTTGCTGCTCTTGCAAAGAACCTGAGTTCAGTTTCTAGTACCCATATGGGGCCTTATAACTATAACTCCAGTTTCAGGCCTGTTACCCTCTTCTGACTTCTACAGTCATTGTACACCTGTGGTTTGCATAAATACATGTAGACAAATTACTCACACATATGAAATAAAAACGGTAAATAAATCCTTTAAAAATATTGCGGATTACAGCAATCCAAAAGAAAAAATAAAGATAACCCATACAAAGATGCTTAACACAGCGTCTTTTGAAGTAGTAAAAGCAGAGATAACCCAAAGATTCACCACTGAGAGGATGGATACATCACTTACATATGTTCATAGTGTAGGATAGATTGTACCAACTAAAAGGAGTCGGGTGGTTCCATCTATATTAACTTGTGCAGGTGTGAAGTTTATGATATCAAGCAGATTGCTGACCAGGAAGCCCTGCGAGTCTCTCCTATTGATACTTGTGCATGTTAGTATAAACACAGAGAAATATAGAAACATATGTAAACGCTGACATCTGTCACTCTTCTTACAAGTTGGATACAAGATTATTACTTTTTATATCACAGGTAGCATCTTTACATTGAAACAATGAGAATGAAAGATATAGAGATAGATGATAGTGAATTAAATGCATTAAAGATGTTGGCTGAGAACAGGAAAGAAAGCAGAGGCAGGTTCTTCTGTCTGGCATGAGCTTTAAGAGATAAGGTTAGAATGGAGCCCACCCACAAGACTGAAAGGTATTGTTTTCATGTTAATTATGTGTTTGATTTTTCCATACCTGGTGAGCTATTCTCAACTTAACTTCATGTCAGAGGCTCCACACCATCCTGGGGAGCAGCAAGGGTGCTGGAAATGGCTCCATCTCTGGGAAGCTGCTCACCAGCGTCAGTGAGCTTGAAAGCTGGACGTGCAGGTGTACAGAGGAAATTGAGGACCGTGATCTTACTGTGACCTCTTCCTAATCAGCAGATAGTCTGTCTCTAATTGTATCTCCATTTGTATTATGTGGAAGACTATCTCCCTTGGCCTTATGTATGTTATTTCCCCTTTATTTTCTAGGGTTGTGGGAATAGAGCTACATATGAAGAAGGGGACAATCTGTGTGGTAAGTTGGTCACCTAAACAATAAGTCTCATGTCTACTTTCTTTTAATGCATTGCCCAGCCAAAGTAAAGTGGAAAACAGAAGGTACATGGAGATCCAGTCTGTGTGCGTGCCCACACCTGTCCCCAGAGGACTCCTGACATGAGTGACTCGGTGTAGCAGCAGTCAAAGTGCTGGACACTGCAGTGCCCCTAGCCTCCTCTGTTGTTCTAAGCATGGAGCCAGCCTTGCTGTTCTCGGCTTTCTCCTGACTCTGTTTCTCCTTCTTGGTCATGAGTCTAGTATTTCTGATGGGGAACAGGAAACACTCCTCATGGATGGCACCAGCTTGTAGCGTCTTTGTATGGACTTCCATTAGATGTTTGTTCTATGTAGCAACACAGGTCGGTACACAATAGTAAACAGAATGCCTGTAGGGAGGACACACAAGACTTATAAAGTCACAGATGTGTCTGTAGCTTATTTCTGAGTCAGCCCTATGTAAAAACTGCAATCTCACAGACAAGGCCCTTTCCTCATAAAGTACCACAAAATAATAAAAAAAAAGTCACTTATGAAGTTTAGTAATAATAACAGCAACATCGAAGCTGACATTGTGGGCTAGGAAATAACATACATGTACTTCAGTCCTCAAAGTCCATAAAGTTGTATGGATAGTATATGTACAATTTATAGTATTTTTGGCAGGCAAACGCCTGGCAACTTCTGTACTCTTATCTACTTTCTTTCTACCTATATTCTACCACCCTGGCCTCTGCAAGAAAAGATGCCTTCATGCCCCTTCCCTGTTCCTACTTCCATGGGAACTCCATATCAAGCAAGCAGAACTACAAAGTTCAAGCTTGGATCCACATACGAAAGACATTTGTCTGTCTGGCTCTGGGTTACACCACTCAGTGTCATTACTCCAAGTTTTATCTATGTACCTGCAAACTTCAGTTTTCTTTGTAGTTGAATAATATTCCGTTGCGTATATGTAGCACGTTTTCATTATCCATTCACTAGCTTATGATGGACATCTAAGTTTCTCCCATTTCTTGGCTATTGTGAATGGAGCAGCAATAACCACAGATGAGCAGAGATCTCTGCAGTGTGGTATAAAGTCTGTTGGGTGTATGCCAGGAGCAGGATAAATGGGGTAGAGGGTGGTTTTATTTCTATTGTTTTAGAAACCTCCAGATTTAATTCCAAGGTGTTTGTACCACTTTCTGGCCACAAACGGAATATAAGGGTTCCATTTCCCCCATAACCACACTAGCATTTGATGTCATTTTGTATTCCTGATAGCCATTCTGACTAGGATTATAATACTCTTTAAGTAAAAGAAAGTGCATGGCACTTGGCTTTTGTGGTTGTGGGGACAGTTTGCGGGTGCTCTTGAGAAGCAGTCATATTTGTATGGAAGCCTGAATAAGCAGCATGCATGGCCAGTAGTGTAAAGAGAAGCTTTTTTCTTGAGAGAAACCTTCCCGCCAGCCTGGTTCTAGAGCCGCATCAGTCCCAAATAAACACACAGGAGACTATATTAATTATGAAGCTGATGGCCTTGCTTGTTTCTTACTGGCTAGCTCTGACTTAAGTAATTACCCCATAATTGTTGATCTAAATATGTCTCTTACCGGAGAAGTTTCTGGGCTTCCTACCCCATGGCGTTACATCTCGACTCTCTGTGTTTCTCCTTCCCAGAGTCCTTCTGGACTCCTAGTCCCACATATCTAGATTCCTATCGGCCAGCAGTGTTTTATTGACATATACACAGGACTTCCTCCACACAGTAGGGTGAGGAGCTCTGTCCTATGTGTAGAGTGTGAGGGCAAGGAGAAGGTGTGAGGGAGCAGGATTCAAAGCCTGACTCAGGTTGACCTCAACCATGAACCCTCTGTAGCTGATCTATGCCTGTCAAGTTTCCAGAGACTGCTGGGATGTTATCTTCTCTCACCTTTTCAACAGCCTGGGATATTCTACCCTATGTGCTCTGGAAGACAGAAAGGAACATTTTTGTCCAAAGTGACATAGCAAGGACTCATTTTTTTTGTTTTCTAGTTCTCTCCAGAAATGATTTTATTCTTCTTTATAGTCAAATAAGACACACACACACACACACACACACACACACACACACACACACACACTATTTTTGAGGGTGAGTGTTCTCATTTGTGTAAATGTGCATAGGTGCTTGCAGATAAGTGTGAACATGTTTGTGTATTGTGTAAATGTGGAGGACAGAGGACAACCTTGTGTATCACCTTAGGCACCATGCACTGTTTTTTTGGTTTTACGAGACAGGGTTTCTCTGTATTGTTTTGAGGCTGTCGGTCCAGCCCAGCCTCAAACTCACAGAGATCCGCTTGCCTCTGCCTCCCGAGTATTGAGATTAAAGGTGTGCGCCACCACCACCCAGCACCATGCACTTTTTTTAATGAGACAAGATCCAGTCTTGGCCTGGAACTCACCCTGTAGACAAGACTACCTGTGCTCTAGGGATCTTCCTGCCTCTGCTCCCATAGTGCTGGGATTCCAAGAGTGCACCACCATGCTTGGATTTTTAATTTTTTCATGGGTTCTGGACATTGAGCTAGAACCCTCATTCTTTCAAGGCAAGTTGTTTAGCATCTGAGATGTCACACTAGACCCCTTATCACATTTTCTTTTTCATTGTTGATGGTTTCCAGGCTAATTATTTTATTGTAAATAATGCAACAATAAACACAAATGGTCAAAAATTTATTTTGTGTGTTAATTAGAAAGTTAATGCAAAAATAATATCCTCTCCTCTGTGAAGAACAACAGTTCTTACAGCCTCCTCCCATAGACAACTACTCCCCAGACTCCTATAAACATAGATAATTTGTCCTGTTCTGAACTTCAGATAATGAGCCATACAGATGTCAGTTTTGTGTCTGGCTTCTTCCATTAAGCATGCTTTTGAGTTTCACACATGTTAAAAAAATATACTCACATATTTTATTATGTGAGTATTAGGCTAAGGGGCATTTTATAATCAGATTGTCACAGCCCTTGCCTTAGTCCATGACCTCATACTATAATACTCACTTTTGAAGAATGAGTTCCAGTAGAAGTTCAATTTAGCATAGTCATTCTTCTGGAAAACCTAGGCTTCCCGTATTCCTTCTAGTTCTTTCCTTCTTCCCATGGTTTCTACTTGGGTGTCTGGGTTCTGCCTGAGAATAGAGGCCTGCTCAATCAGAGGGATGGGGCTTTCTAGAGCAGTTCACATTTATATCCAACTGCAGGAGGAGACATTGGATCCATTTTTATTTTTCTTGTCTCACATGTCCAAAGAAGAGACAGCCTCAGATTCCAGGACCACATCAGGATGTAGAGATGCCGGAACTGAGGGTCCTCCTCATGGGGAAGTGTGGTGTTGGGAAAAGTGCAGCAGGGAACAGCATTCTGGGGAAGCGGCCCTTTAAGACTCAGTACAGTGAGCAGCAGGTCACCAAGGTCTTTTCATCCCGCAGCAGGATCTGGAATGGGAAGAAAGGTCTGGTCATTGATTCTCCAGAGATCTCATTGTGGAAGCCTGATGCATCTGAAGTCAAGGAGCACGTCTCTCTGGGCCCCCATGCCTTCCTGCTGGTGACACCACTGAACTCTTTGATAAAGAGTGATGACAATATGTTCAACCCTGTCAAAAATATTTTTGGAGAAAAATTCACCAAGTTCCCAATTATTCTCTTTACCAGGAAAGAAGATTTAGAGGATCAGACTCTAGATGAATTTATAAGTAAAAACAGCAATCTCCAGGAGCTCGTCTTGAAATTTGAAAAAAGATATACCGCTTTCAACTATCGAGCGACTGTGGAGGAGGAGCGGAGGCAGGTGAACAAACTCCTGGGCCAAGTTGAGAGCATGGTGCAGTGCAACGGCAACAAGCCTTGTATTTTCAGGGAGAAAGGTAAGGCTAAGCATAGGAAATGGCTTTGTATCCAGAGCTTGGGATGTAAGGCATGATCTAGAACTCTCTGAAGGAAGGGCAGAGGGTGAGCAAAGGACCATGTTGGGGATGTAGATCAGTACAGTGTTTACCCAGCATGCACTAGGGTATCTGATCCCAGGTCATCAGCTGGGCGTGGTGGTATTTTCCTGTAGTCCCAACACTTGGGAAGTAGAGTCAGGAGGACCAGAAGTTCAAGTTTATTGGCTAAGTAGTGAGTTCAAGGCCAACCTGGTTTAAATAAGACCCTGTCTCAAAACCATACTTTGGTCTCTTCTTTAAATTTTCCTAAAGTTGTGTGTTTTTTAATGTATACTCTCATGGCTGGTTTTTAATTCCTTCCTGACCCCTATCCCACCTCTCCACCATGGAGACCTCTCCCAGTCTTCTTGCTGTTTCAGTCTGCTGTTGCTTCTGTTCACTTTTTTGCTTTTCTGTTCTCTTACCTCAGAACTTTCTCTGGATTATTTATTCTTCCCTGATCTGGATATGGGAAACAATAAGAATGTGTAAGTAGAGTTTAGAAGATGATTTACTTGCTTAACTAGCATGAAAATCTGAGTTTGGTCCCCAGAACTCATGTCAAAAAAGCCAGGCATGGTGGATCTCTAAGACTTGCTGGCCAGCCTTTCTTACTAATCATGTTCCAGGTTAGTGAGAGACTCTGTCTCTAAAACCAGGGGTAGACTGTGGCTGAGGAATGACAGTAGTGCTTGTCCTCTGGCCTCTCTGTGCATATAGAGGGGCATGCCTCTTAGGAGGAGATGAGAACAGTCCTGATGGAAACAGGGCTTCAAATGGCAGAAAGGTTGGATCAGATTTCAGAGAGATTTGGCAACTGAGTCTTTCCTAAATACAGAAGTAGGGATTGGAACACATGACATGAGTGCTGGAGCATGCGTGTGTGAGTGTGTGCTTAAATGTGTGTATGTGATGCACGCATGCATATGTTGGTTCAGATCATTGATTTATTTTCACCCTTTAAGCATAGCTATGAGACTGAGTTTAGCATGAGTGGCTCACTAGTTGTCCTGGAAGGGAGACCAAGATGGGCTTTCCTCCCTCTTTGGTTTGAAGTAGACACTAGTGACTTGATAAGGGGTTCGTTCATGATGGAGAACCATTGAGGAGGGACACAGTGCAAAGTAGAAAGGCATCAGGAACACCTGAAAGTAAATATAATCAGATCTTTGCACCTACAAGTACTATTTACATGGAACCTTTTCTTCTATCACTGACACCACAAAGAACAGTATTAGTGGCATTTATTTTAATCAGGAAGTTCCTTTGGCTCATTATTGAAAGACACAGTAAGATTAATCAGGCTTTTAATGAATTTTAGTATGAGATAACCAACACAACTGGTAATATGTTGATAGAAACTGCGATTTCCCCCACCCTGAAAATCTAATTGTATAGAGTAGATTTTCAAATACTTCAAAGACATTTTTGCTATGGGTATTAGGAGTTAACAATAGGGAGACTTAGTTACACTAGGAACAGAAGATAGAAATGAAATGTGTGGACTAGATCCAGCAAAGATAAGAGGCAAAGATAAGGCCACTGTTTCTCATAGGTAACAGTGATTAAGGAGAGGTCCTGGAAAAGGGAGCAGAGTTGATTCAGGGACAGGAGGTATGCTATGTTCATGATGAGCAATGGGCAGAGGATTGTCCAAGTCCCTCTGCTGAGTACATAGACCACATAAACTGGGCAAGCCAGTCTCCTGTGTGGGGTAGACCTGTTGGGTGGTGCCTGGTGAGCTTAGTGATAAAACTAGTGCTGTGAATAACTTGGAAAGATGAGTTCTGCATCATCCCACAGTCATGAGTCCATCCCATTTTCCTCTGCAACAGAACTCCTAAACATCATACTCCTAGGAAGGAGTGGGACTGGAAAGAGTGCAACTGGAAACACGATCTTGGGGAAACCTGCCTTCCTGTCTCAACTAGGAGCTCAGCCCATCACCAGTAGAAGCCAGAGTGACAGGATGACAGTGGACGGGCAGGATATTGTGGTTGTGGACACTCCATCATTCAGCCAGATGCCTGGTATTCAAAAGGATCCTTCCAGGTTAAAGGAGGAGGTCAAATACTGCTTGTCTCTCTGTGAAGAAGGAATGAAGGTTTTTATTCTGGTGCTTCAGCTGGGGCGGTTCACCCAAGAAGATGAGGCAGCAGTGGAGCAACTGGAGGCCATGTTTCAAGAAAAAATTATGAGATATATGATTGTGCTGTTTACACGGAAGGAAGATCTAGGGGATGGAGACCTTGGTGATTATACTAGAAACACAAAGAACAAAGCCCTTAAAAGCATAATTAAAAAGTGCAAGGAGCCAGTTTGTGCTTTTAATAACAAAGAAACTGGTCAAAACTGGGAGGCCCAGGTGAAAGAGCTGTTGAAAATAGCCAATAGTCTCAGAAAATACTATGATGAGCATTCACACTCATGGGTGGATTTTGGCCATCCATTCAAAACAATAGGTCAACAAATTGCTAGGATGTTTAAACAATGAACTCAAGTGAGTAATTAAAAGGTCTGGGACACAGGGATGCCATCAGACAGAGGTGGGTGGGATGATGGAACGACATGACTGGTGGGATCATTCCCTTCAAAGAAAGTTCATGACTTTGAAGGTCAATCCTAACCCTAACCCTAAACCCTAAACCCTAAACCCTAAACCCTAACCCTCTAACCCTAACCCTCTAACCCTAAACCCTAAACCTAACCCTAACCCCTAACCCCTAATCCTAACCCTAACCTCTAACCCCTAACCCTCTAACCCTCTAACCCTCTAACCCTAACCCTCTAACCCTCTAACCCTCTAACCCTAACCCTCTAACCCTCTAACCCTAACCCCTAACCCTCTAACCCTAACCCTAACCCTAAACCCTAAAGCTAACCCTAAACCCTAACCCTAACCCTGAATCTGTAACCCTAACCCCTCACCCTCACCCCTACTCCTAACCCTGAATCCCTAACCTGAACCTGAACTCAAACCCTAAGCCCCCTAACCCTGACCCCTAACCTGAACCCGAATCCGATCCCAACCCTAACCCCCCTAACCATGACCCTGACCCTAACCACCCTGACCCTTACCCTGACCCTGACCCCGTCGCAGACCCCAACCCCAACCCCGACCTCGACCCCAACCCACTTTGTGTTTACTTACCTTTTTGGGATCATATCTCTTTCTCAATACTGAGATCTTCAAAGAGGTCACTGCAGAGGAATGTTTCAGGGCATTCTACTTGTCTTGTAACCTTTCTTTCTGGTTGTATCTTCTGTTTACATACTCACAATTCACATATTTCCCTCCTTCACTGTCTTGGCATGTCTTCTATGAAGAAAAATATAATCAAATTACAAAAATCAAAAATAGTCAAATTCACATGCAGCAGCACAAGCTCCTCTTTGTATTGATTTTATTTGGGGTGTCAGGTGGAACAAGTTCTACAATGGCTGCTTTTACACTAGCATTAATTGGGGAAGACAGCACAGATGAACATACGAACTCTGTGTTACTTCATCAAATGTACCTGAGCAGAGGACAGGGAAGGGAAGGACATGAGGAGGGGGGGGGAAGAAGGCAGAGGACAAGGGGCCAGAGAGGGAAACGACCCAGGGAAGCTTAGGAGGAAACGACAGAAGGAAGTAGGGGACGGAAGAGGCAGGGGGAAAGGAGACAGGAGGAGTGAAGGATTAATGCCAGTTACAGGTGCGGGGACGGCAGGAATTTGAGAATAAGATAAGGCAAATTATTCAAAAAACATACCAGCTTCAAATGCCAGTTAGCCAGCACATTAAGAGTTGCATGGCAAAGCCAACTTCATCTTCCAAATTAGTTTAATACTACAAACTTACAAAAAAGAATGCTGCAGAACTCCTGAGGAACAAGAACAGCCTGGGTGTGGGTGGAGGACCTCTGAGCCCCCTTTACCCCTGGGTGCATCTGTGGTAAAGTACACATGTCCTTGGTTCAGCCCAGAGTGTTCACCATACCAGGAAGGGCGAGGGACAAATAGCTGACTCCTTACCCATCAATGCCACAAGAGTTTAGTACTCAGAATAAACTAACAAAATGCAAAAAAGATGGCAGTATAAATATATACCATGTTGCTCTTTTCTTAAATGGCAATTACAATTTGAATAGAATACAATATTTTACTGACGTGAGGTTTCTAAGCTTATTTTAGCAATAGTGAGATGCCTCAGAAGGAAAAATGTCTGTGGTGTATAACGCTGGCAATGTGACCTTGAAAGGGCTAATAGAAAACCCTCAAACATATATGTTACACATTCTAAGCCATAATCGCATTTTACACACACACACACACACACCAGACATGTTTTTTTTTTAAATAAATCTATCTTTACAATATCTGGCATCTCAAGATAATCCCATTAGGAAGCAATACTTCAAGATGAGCACCAAATGAATCAAAACTGTATCATGGCTGGACAGTGGTGGTGCACACCTTTATTCCCAGCACTTGGGAGGCAGAGGCAGGTGGATCCATGTGAGTTTGAGACCACCATAATATACAAGAGATAGAGCCAGGACAGCATCCAAAGCCACAGAGAAACCCTGTCTCAAAAAAACAAACAAAAAAAACCCCCAAAAAACAAAAACAAAAAACCTGCATCATAAAGAAGCAGGATGTTGAAAACTATACATATCCATAGTACAACAAGCTATGTTATTAAATACACAGTTGATTACTGATTATTCTATTGTATTATATCTCTACCAGACATATGTAAACACTTCTTTGGATAGACACATGAAGTATTTTCTTACCTTCTATTAAGCATGTTAATATTAACATTGTTGAAACATGTCAACAAAGGAGCACACATCAGGGGTACATCATCTACCCTTGGTCTTGAACTCATGAGGATGAAACATATGAGGATGAGACATATGAGTTCAAAGGTAGCCATGATGAAGTACTGACATCCAAGCCAGGATGGATAACAAACAATTGATGTTGTAATAATAAACGGCACACTTACTGAAAATAAAACTAAGTATTTATTGTAAAAATTACTCACAAGATACCAAGCAAGTAACCCAGATGAGCCCAGTAGTTTTCCCGCTGCCGAACCGGAAGCCGAAATCCGGGAAAAGAGACCAAGACTTCCTTTGTGCTGTCTTTTATGCCTTCCCCCGTAACGCCCCCTAGCCATGCCCAAAAGTGGGCCTGGCTAGTGACGTCGTTCACCGCCTACGTACGTATACATCTTTACGTCCATCTTTACGTCCGTCCGTATACATCTTTAGTCATGCCTAAAGTGGGTGTGGTTAGCAGTGTGGTAAACCGCTCTTTTATTACCTCATCTGTATGCGCCTCTAGTAAGTCACATGGTTAATGGCGGCATACAGGCTTCCTCCTACAAACAATGACATCTGAAGGGAATTTGTGGACACATAAAAAAACCAGGAAGAAGCCACCAACCTTTCACAGACCTTTATGTGAAAAGTATAACACTACCTAATAGTTAAGTAAACAATGATGCACTTAGATAATAGTCAACCCATTCTATATATTTCAGCAAAAAAATTGCCTATCACCACATGAAAGCACAACAGAAAATGAACAGAGTTAAAGAAGGAATATCTGAACCATCAGATAAACTGAAGGAATACATGAACTAGCAAATAAACTTCAGTATGTGGATTTGTCACATATACAGGACACTTCAATACCTCATACAAAACTTTCAAAAACAGAAACTACAATGCTGTGATCTCTGCCATCATACTTGAATGAAATAGATGAAATACCTTCTTTTCATTGAAACTGAAGTCAACTGTAATATGTAAATTCTTTACCATATTGTTTACATGAACAGGTTTTTCTCATTCCTACCTGTTTCCTAATGTCAAGATGACATATAAAGGTTTAAAATATCATGTGGCTAGAGATATGATCAAGCAGTTAAAAGTTCATTTCCAGGACCAAGCTCTAAAATATTGAGAGGGATAAAGACAAGGTCAAGCAGTAAAGACAAAAACCCTGCCCAGAATCAAGGTGAGGTTTTGGACAACATTCTGTGATTTCTGTTAGAAATAAATACATGAAGGCTAAAGGATTTACCATTCTAAGAATATGCACATATCTAAAGACACACTGACATAACAAAATAAAAATTAACAAAAATCATTAAACATTTCCAATCATGACTATTTTTCTTTTCTAAGTATTCATTCCTGTAACCCAGATGTTGAGGCTGATAAAGGCTTACCTACAGTTTTTCTGTATCATGATCTGCTTCATATAACAAAAAGCGAGCATGTAAGTCTGAAGTCAGAGAAATCAATACTTCCCAGTTGGTGGTATCATTTGAGATGATTAAGGAAATGATGCCCAGCTGGAGGTAATATGTCACTGGGGGTATGGTTTTATAATTGACATCTGCATACCATTTCCAGTTCCCACTGTCTGGTTCATTCTTCAGGTTGAGGATGTGAGATCTTAGCATCCTGCTATATCTGCCATGTCTGACACCTGTTGCCATGCTGCTTTCATGATGATCCTGTATCCCTCTGGAACCAAGAGCCATATTAAATTCTTTCACGAGTTAATGTAGATACTGTGTTATATCACAACAGAAAAGGCACAAATAAACACCCATAAAGTTATATATCTGAATTAGTGATTTCATGTCATTGAAGAGGAAATCTAAAAGGGTTACTTTATCATTTAAATTTGTAGAATTTTATCCAAGTGCAAACAAAATAAAGATGGGCATTATACTGCTTAAACAGATAGTTGACACTGTGAAACTATTTTCTCCAGAATGCTCGTGTACCTAAAACGTGTTGGCTAAAGATCTTACAAAATCCTTTATAGCCAGACTTTCTTCTGTACAAGTTTTTTCGGGTTCTCAAAGACTATTGTGATATGAACAGGCTTTAACAGAATGATCGAACACTAAAAGTTTTACTCTTGTATACCACCACAAAGTGTAAAACCTTACCACACTGACTACATTTATAGTTTCTCTGCAGTATGATTTTTTATCATAATTTCAAAGACTACAATGATGTACAAAGGCTTTACCACATTACTTTCATAGAGTTCCTCTCCAATACATGTTCTTTTATGCATTAAGAGAATACTGTGATGTGAAAGGCTTTATCACTTTGACTACATTCATAGGGTTTCTGTCCTGTATGTGTTATTTTATGTGTTTGGAAAATACTGTCCTGTGTAAAGCCTTTAGCACATTGACTACATTCATAGTGTTTCTCCCCAGTAAGGGTAATGTTAAGAATTTGGATATAACTCTGTTGTAAAAAGGCTTTCCCACATTCATTCCATTCATAAGGTTTCTCTACATTATGGATTCTTTCATGCCTTTTAAGATGATTATGATATACATAGACTTTAACACCTCGAGAATATTCAGGTTTCTCTCCAGTATAACAATGTGGTCTAATTATAAAGAAGAATTAGATGTTAAGGTTTTATCACTGTTTACACTCATGATGTTCCCCTTCATTAAGGT